ACAGCGGAACTAACAGCAGCATGATCGCCATCGACAACAAGATAGAGCAAGCCATGGTGAGAACATTCAGAATAATAATAATAATAATCACAGAGAATACAGATATCGTCTTTGTTGTAGTAGTAATTTAAATACGTTTGACGGTTTAACTTCTGTTAAAGTGTGTTTGAGTGTGACTGCTGTAATGTGTGTGTGTGTGTGTGTGTGTGTATTCACAATATAATGTGCAGCTTAAGCAGTAGATGGCAGCGCTCGCGACACCAGGGTCCCGGGTTCGAATCCCCAGGAATGCGTGCTCTGATGAGATGTGTGTGTGTCTGCAGGACCTGGTGAAGTCTCACCTGATGCTGGCGGTTCGAGAGGAGGTGGAGGTGCTGAGAGAGCAGATCAAAGAGCTGTCGGAGAGAAACGCTGAGCTGGAGAGAGAAAACTACATCCTGCGAGCGCTCCGGGACAGAGACTGAGCCAAGTGCATCATGGGAGATGTAGTTCAGCGTGAAAAGGGATGGAACGGTTAAACGTGTGCAGTATTGAGCGATGAGTGCCTTAAAACGCAGTAACAACTAATCAAGAAATTATTCAATAATGTTGATGACGCCCTAAACAGTGCCTATATTTATTACTGCCAGTGTGTGTGTGTGTGTGTGTGTGTGTTTGTGAAAGCACTGCTCACACAACTAGGTTAATGAGTCTCTTTATGTTGCCATGGTTAAACCAGGACTGGTTGGGATTTAGTTGAGTTAACTCACTCTTCCTCTCTGTTAGCTGAATAATGATTGATCTGTAGTGCGTTACGTGTCAATGACTGCTCTAATAAATAACTCTCACTACTCCAGCTGTGTGCTGACTTCACAAACATCCTCAAAACAAGATAAAGATGACATCTCAGAGAATATGTATGTTTGAATTAAGTTGAGTTTGAATTAGTTTTGACTGCTTTGACTGGAAACCATGGAAGCCTGTTTTTGCTTAAAAAAAAAAAATCTCAATTCAGACTTTATATCTCAATTGCGAGTTTATATAATGTTTACTAAAAAAAAAAAGTCAGAATTTTGAGATGTTATGTCACTATACTTGCAATTCTGAGAAGAAAAGTCAATATTGTGAGATAAAAAGTAGCAATTACGTTTTTTTTTAATTCTGACAGAAACAAAATAACAGAATTTCCAGATATATAGAATTAGAAAAACGATTTAGTTGAGTTAACTCGCTCTTCCTCTCTGTTAGCTGAATAATGATTGATCTGTAGTGCGTTACGCGTCAATGACTGCTCTAATAAATATCTCTCACTACTCCAGCTGTGTGCTGACTTCACAAACATCCTCAAAACAAGATAAAGATGACATCTCAGAGAATATGTATGTTTGAATTAAGTTGAGTTTGAATTAGTTTTGACTGCTTTGACTGGAAACCATGGAAGCCTGTTTTTGCTTAAAAAAAAAAAATCTCAATTCAGACTTTATATCTCAATTGCGAGTTTATATAATGTTTACTAAAAAAAAAAAGTCAGAATTTTGAGATGTTATGTCACTATACTTGCAATTCTGAGAAGAAAAGTCAATATTGTGAGATAAAAAGTAGCAATTACGTTTTTTTTTAATTCTGACAGAAACAAAATAACAGAATTTCCAGATATATAGAATTAGAAAAACGTCAGAATTGCGAGGTATAAACTCTGAATCCCTAACTCTCAGAATTATGATTTTATAACTCACAATTCTGAGAGTAATGCAAAAATAAAATTCTGTGGCAGAAAAAAAACAATTGTAAAACGTTAACTTTTAGAGGGAAAAATTGCTAAATATAAACGCAGAATTGCTAGAAATCAAAGTTAAAAATCCTGAGTTTATATCTCTTTTTTTTTTTTTTTGTTAATCTTGAGTTTATAAGAAGTCAGAATTGTGAGATACAGTAGAAATACACTTTTATTTCTATTCTGTGGTGGAAACGGGCTTCCAAAGCAAACAGCTTGTCACATAATAAACAAACTGCCTGTTTCTTTCACTATTACTGTAATATTTTGTTAAACATAGATGTGGAGCAACGTTTCCTAAATGTAATAAACACATATAATTATTGACTCTGGCTGTTATTGTTCAATTACATGTGTTCTTCCTCCATAATTCACCTCCGGCCATAGAACAGTCTGTTTCATCTGCTTTGTGTGTATATATTTAAGTAAGTACGTGCTGTCGAGTTATTTAAATATGTTTGTGTGGTGTATAATACACATATAGTGTCTGTGTAATCATCTTGTAACGCGTGGAACGTTGCGTGTAACGTTGTCAGTCAGCGCGGAGTGCGCATGCGCACCAACGTCACCTCCACCCGGAAGTGCGTCTGAGCGCGGCAGAGATGGTGAGAGTTTGAGATGGGGTTTAATTTTTCCTCAAATTAGGTATTTTCTGAATTTATTCTCGTGTGTTTTGCCGGAAAACGCAATGTTTTTGTTTCGTGCAACAGCTGAAGTCATGTTTTGAAGTTAAAGGTGAGTTAAAAGTGTGTGTTTAATGTGGAATAACCAGATTCTACCGATTTAAC